AGCTGTGGTACATACATACAATAAATATTACTCAGCCATAAGAAGAGATGAAATACTGCCATTTGCAACAACATGGATAGACTTTGAAATAATCATACTAAGCAAGATAAGCCAAACAGAAAAGGTTGAAAATCACATTGATATCACTTATATGTGGGATATAAATCTAAAAGCAACAAATGAACAGGACAAACAAACAGAGACTCGTGGACATGGACAATGGACTAGTGGTTACTAGAAGGGTGGGGGGAAGGGGAAAGGGGAAAATAAAAAAATAAAATATAAAAAAAAATTATGTATATATAGTATAAAAAAAAGAAAGAAAACAAAGAGTTATGGCTAATAAGCCAACAAAGGAGATAGAATGCAATTATAAAATACCAAGAGTGAAAATGTCGCTTGCTCCAAGGATTTATTCCTTCAAGAAACTTGTTGATAAAATACAGTACATATTTTTTATCATCCAGTGAAAATGTCAGTTTATTAAAACATACTCAGAAGTATAATTAAGTCAATGAAAATAAATGGCAAAAGTACTTACTGCCCAGACTGGTGACGTAAAGCCCAGAATTGCAGCCTTAGCTCCATCGGCAACATAAGGAATAATATTTTCTCCCAGACGTGTATCTCTGAACAAGGCTCTAAGGATATTTAAAGCATGAACCTGGAATAAAAAGTTCAAAACTACTTATGGGTTGAAGACTGTGGTGATTCTAAATCTGTACATATCTAATAGTATAGCCTCAAAACAAAAAATTACCGAATTACAATAAGAAACAATCCACAAATGAAATACATTTTAATAAAACATCTAATAATTAATACATAAAATGTTTTAAAGTTAGTAAGATCTGAACAATGTAATAAAAAGCTTGATCTAATGGACATATATATAATCCTGCACCTAAAAAACAGAGACAGCATATTGTTTTCAAACAGACATGAAACATTTATTTTTTAAAAGGACTTCAAATCTAGCCACAGATAGTCTCTACAAATACCAAATAATTAATATCTTACAGATTATGCTCTGATAACTGTGGAATAAAGTCAGAAATCAATTTTTTAAAATACATTTAAAACTAACACATTTTAAAATACTGGTCAAAAAAATTTTAATATTTAGAACTGAACAATAATGAAGATGCATTACATCAACATTTGTAGGATGTACTCTAAGTGAAACTTAAAAAAATGTATTCTTTAAATGCCTGTATTAAAAAAGACTGAAAATGAATGTGCTGAGTGTCTGATTAAAACAATAGGATAGAACGATAAACTCAAATTAGAGAAAGAAAACTTAAAAAAGCAGAAAATTTGAAATTAGCAGTAACATAACTAAGACATTAACATAACCAAAAGCTGATTCTTTAAAATAGAAACAAACCTCTGACAAGATTAACCAAGAAAAAAGATAAGAAAATAAGCAATATCATGAATACCAAAGAGGACATGATTACAGATACATCAGAGAATAAAGAAAAATAATACTAAGAATAATACTGCCTTAATCAATTAGAAAAATTAAGGCAAAATGAACAATTTCCTAAAAACTAGAATTTATCAAAACAAATTCAAAGAGAAACTAAAAAGCTAGA